CTATTGCTGTGAATCTAAATCATGTGTTCCAAGGAGCTGTCTATGCAAGCGAAACAGGCCATTGTAAGGCTTCAAAAACAAAACAAATCTATCAGATAGCAGCAACATTAGGAGTGGCCAAATCAACAGTTTGGTGCATTCTGAGGGAAGAAGAACGGACTGGTGAGCTCAGCAACATAGAAAGGCATGGACGTCCATGGAAGACAACAGTGGTGGATGATCGCAGGATCCTCTCTATGGTAAAGAAAAACCCATTCACAACATCCAGACAAGTGAAGGACACTCTCCATGAGGTGGGTGTATAATTGTCAAAGTCTACAATCAAGATAAGACTTCACGAGAACAAATACAGAGGGTTTGCCACAAGGTGCAAACCATTCATAAGCCTGAAGAATAGAAAAGCCAGATTAGACTTTGCCAAAAAAACATCCAAAACAGCCAGACCAGTTCTGGAAAAGCATTCTTTGGATGGATGGAACTAAGATTAATTTGTACCAGAATGACGGGAAGAAAAAAGTGTGGAGAAGGCTTGGAACAGCTCATGATCCAAAACACACAATGTCATCTGTAAAACATGGTGGAGGCAGTGTGGTGGCATGGGCATGCATGGCTTCCAGTAGCACTGGGTCACTGGTGTTTATTGATGTGACAGAAGCAGCCGGATGAATTCTGCAGAGAGATACTGTCAGCCCAGATTCAGCCAAATGCAGCAAAGTTGATTGGACGGCACTTCACGGTACAGATGGACAATGATCCAGAACACATTGAAGACAGCTGCAGTTAAAGCCTGGCAAAGCATCAGAAAGGAGGAAATCTAGTCTTTGGTAGTGTCCATGGGTTCCAGACTTCAGGCAGTCATTGCCAGTAAAGGATTCTCAACAAAATATTAAAAATGAAAATGTTATTTATGATTATATTAATTTGTCCAATTACATTGAAAATGGAGGAACGGTGTATAAAAACGGTTGCAGTTCCTAAAATTTGTACTTCATATTTGTTTAACCCCTTGCATTAAAGCTGAAAGTCTGCACTTCAAATTCATTTGGATTGTTTTGTTTTAATTTATTATGGTATATATATATACCATACTATTAATACCACTCCAAACCACTAACAATATACTACATTAATAAATAAATATACCCCAGTAGCATAAATCCACCTTCACCCTTGAAGTTGTCAAATTGATAATCAAAAAATGCCAGTCAATATAAATAATAAATCAAAAACATACAAAATCCAAAAAAAACAAACAAAACAAAAATCAAAATATGTCCAAAATTCTAAAGTACAAAACTATAACCCCAGTGTTTGTAGTTGTCAAATATGTGACTCCACACAGTAATCTCAATATTAGAGCCTCCCACAGGCTTGCACAATCAAAATCGCCTCAAAGAAAAAGAAAAGAAAAAACATAGTGCATTTATCCTTTTACATAAATAAACTTTGAGTGAATGCACTCCACAAAAAACACACTTTTGAATCCTCTATAGTGATTAGAGTGCAAGTGTATAAGTGAAACATGCGTTGTGCCACACAGGTGAAAAACCGTGTTCACTTCTATTAAAGTAAGGAATAAATACCCTTACCAGAGCAACAAAATAATTAAGCCTTATCCAATGGAAGTTCTATAGCCCTCGAAAGGATCCTTATGGTTATCCCTCTCTCCTTCTATCCTCCAGGATCCATCAGCAAGTCAGCTCCATACTCCTCCTTACACCATACTTCACCAAATTGCCAAAATATATGGGGAATATAATAGTTTAATGCCGCCACTGTACCATGTAATATCTTTATTCAGTGTACTCACAATATGCACTCCTTAAAACCGCATTGATCCAGTAATATCAGACCTTTTAACAATCCTCTGCAATCTCCAGATAGTTTGGTGTGCTTTTGCCACAACTAAAATGGCCGCCGCCCCACTTCCGTTCCTCTCTTGCCTTTCAGCAATCCTCTGCAGGAGGATCGGAAGTGGGGCGGTGGCCATTTTAGTAGTGGCAAAAGCACACTAAACTATCTGGAGATTGCAGAGGATTGTTAAAAGGTCTGATATTACTGGATCAATGCGGTTTTAAGGAGTGCATATTGTGAGTATACTGAATAAAGATATTACATGGTACAGTGGCGGTATTACACTATTATATTCCCCATATATTTTGGCAATTTGGTGGAGTATGGTGTAAGGAGGAGTATGGAGCTGGCTTGCTGATGGATCCTGAGGATAGAAGGAGAGAGGGATAACCATAAGGATCCTTTCGAGGGCTATAGAACTTCGATTGCTATTTGGATAAGGCTTAATTATTTTGTTGCTCTGGTAAGGGTATTTATTCCTTACTTTAATAGAAGTGAACACGGTTTTTCACCTGTGTGGCACAACGCATGTTTCACTTATACACTTGCACTCTAATCACTATAGAGGATTCACAAGTGTGTTTTTTGTGGAGTGCATTCACTCAAAGTTTATTTATGTAAAAGGATAATGCACTATGTTTTCTTTTCTTTTTCTTTGAGGCGATTTTGATTGTGCAAGCCTGTGGGAGGCTCTAATATTGAGATTACTGTGTGGAGTCACATATTTGACAACTACAAACACTGGGGTTATAGTTTAGGACTTTAGAATTTTGGCCATATTTTGATTTTTGTTTTTTTTGGGGGGGATTTTGTATGTTTTTGATTTATTATTTATATTGAGTGGCATTTTTTGATTATCAATATATATACACCATAGTTTTTAGACGCTATAACTTTCACTTATTGGGATTTTTTTTCCTTTACCAAAGACAGGCAACAGAATACATTTTGGCCTAAATTTATAGAGACATTGGATAGTCACATTTTTTTATTGGATATATTTTATAGCAGAAATTAAAGTTTTGTTTTTTTTTTTTTCCCCCCAAAAAAATGTGTAATCATATTTTTTTTGTTTGTTTATATAAAATAAACCCAGTGGTGATCAAATACCACCAAATCAAAGCTCTATTTGTGTGACACAAATTATACAAAATTTGTTAGGGTACAGTATTGCATGTCCACACAATTACCAGTTAAAATAGTTCAGTGCCAAATAGCAAAAAATGGCTTGATCATGAAGGGGGTAAAACCTTCTGGAGCTGATGTGATTAAGCTAAATTAAGCCTTCCCTCCAGTGCAAATTCTGCCTCGTCTGCTTGTAAAATAAAGCAAGAGTAGAAAATGGGTACACAGACATACTCAGACTTTTTGCAGACAACTCCTGGCCTCTTCCTGACAGGCCAGATCTCCTGTATCAAGGCGCTCTATTTTATCCTGCTTCTCAGTCTCTGGTTTGGCTGTTTAAACTGTGGGCTTCAAGGATAGAGTAGTTTCTTAGTCTGTGATTTCTAACTTGCTAAAAGCAAGAAAAGGCTCTTCCAGGAAGATCTTTTTTAATAACTGGAAATCCCTTTTTGTCTGTTGTGAACACAGACAATTAAATCCCAGAGATTGCTTTGTTGGAACTACAGGATCCATAGTATAAACAGGAACCAGAACTTGGCCTGAGGTCTCAGCCTTATCCATTCGTTTTCAAAGGTATTTTCAAGGGTGTATCTTGTATTAACCCCCTTGAAAAAATCCTGTGCTTCCTTTGGGATCTTGGTTTGCTTCTCTGACCTGCAGAAACCCCCCTTTGAACCTATCAGAGATAATCCCCCAGAGCAGGGTTGGACAAACTGCATCCCACCAGCTGTTGCAGAACTACAGGTCCCATCATGCCTCTGCCAATGGGAGTCATGTTTGTAATTGTCAGTTTTGCATTGCCTCATGGGAAAAATAGTTTCACAACAGCTGGAGGGCCACAGTTTTCCCCATCCCTGCACTAGAAGATCTCTGCTGCAAAGTAGCCTTTGCATCTGGCAGACTTGTTCCTAAATTGGCAGCCCTTTCCTGTAAAGAACCTTTCCTCATACTTCACAATAACAAGGTTGTCTTGATCCCAAGGCCATCATTTCTCCCAAAGGTGGTTCCAGTATTCCTCTTCAATGAGGACTTTGTCCTATCATCCTCATGCCCTTCTCTTAAGTATCCAAATGAAACCCCTCTACTTTGCTTTGAATCAGTCAGAGCCATTCACATATATCTCTGGGTTACTACTCCAATCAGATGGATAGATACCTGTTTGTCCTGTCCTCAGAAGCTTGCAAGGGATGCCCTGCTTCAAAGTCCACAATTGCACGATGGACAAGGAATCTGATTGCATGAGCTTACATTATCAAATAAAAATATCCTCCTATGCTTTTATGCCTTTATTTCACCAGATCGATGGGAGTTTCCTTGGCATTTTGACACCAAGTCACTATGGCCCAGTTAAGTAAGGCCTCCAACTGGTCTTCTGTATATAAAATTTCAAAGTCTTTTTATCAGGTGGACTCCCAGTCTTCTGCGGATGCAGCTTGACTGCAAAGTTCTTGCAGCGGCTCACTAAAGTTGGGGCTTCTGACCCTTGTAGTTTGGGCCTGTTAGAAAAGATCTGTTTGCTTCATTGTTGCCTGCCCTTTTTATTCATTGCTTGGGGTTGTCCCATGGTGTAAGAATACTCTGCCTGTGTATACCGTGCCATTAAGATGAGACATTTTTTTGCTTTCCTTTAAATTCCATATCTTGGATTATAGTACAGGTCAGATACCACCCTGCCTTCCATTCCTTGGTTTACGCTGCATTGCTTGCTACAAAACTGAGGACTCACGGAGTGGGGTAGGATTATAGGAAAGGCGCCAAGCCTTGTCTCCTCTAAAGCTTTGCCAGTGTCCAATCACTTGAGGGTACATGCCTATGACCCATGGTATGAGTACTCTGTGTCATGTACTGTGCTCCAAGCTATTTACTTCATTGTCAAGTCAAAATTTTCAAATATTTCTGTGTTTACTTCTGTGTTTGTGTGTCCTTACTATGCTATAATACTTGAAAATATAGCATTGAATGTGCTTTTTACTGTCTTGGAATAACTGCTGCATTATATCTTTATTTACTTCTTCTAACAGTTATGTTGCTGTGAAAAGCTCAACCAGTGATGCTGTTCACATCTCTTGCCTTGAGCATAATGGAACAGACTGGAGGAAAAATGATTGTAAGAACCCTCAGCATCCTTTGCGCTATATAAATGATGGACACCAGGTGAGAGAAATAATGATCAGTATCAGAGCTTAACCATTTGCCTACCACCAACAGTAATTTGGCTGCAGGCAAGCGGGTGGCACATGCAGGCACAATCATGTACATGTATGTCAATGTGCCCAGGGCTCAAAATTTCAAGTCCTGAGCTACTAGGCAGGACTTAAGAGTTACTTGCCACCAGTTGCCCCACCCACCCCCTACCATTCCCCTCCCTTAATTCCACCCCGAAACACGCACTCATAAATTATCTCATGAAATGGCACTCTTAAATGTTTTATGCAGAAGAAAGGAAATCGAAGGAAGAAAGGAAATGGAGCAAGGGGTGGAGGAAATGGAAGGAAGGGAGGGGTGGAGGAAATGGAAGGAAGGGAGGGGTGGAGGAAATGGAAGGAAGGGAGAGGTGGAAGGGAGGGGGGTGGAAAGAAGAAAGGGAGCGAGGGGTGGACGGAAGAAAGGGAGCAAGGGAGGGAGGGGTAGAGGGAAGGGTGGGAGAAAGGAATGGAAGGGAGGGAGGGGTGGAAAGAAGAAAGGGAGCAAGGGGTGGACGGAAGAAAGGGGTAGAGGGAAGGGTGGGAGGGAGGAAGGAATGGAAGGAAGGGAGGGAGGGGTAGAAGGAAGAGAGGTAGGTCAGACTTACATGCTCAGTCAGTAGCATCAGAGTTGCTGGCTACTCTGTGTTCAATTACTCGCCCACAACTCTGAAGCTGCACGTACTGGATTGTGGGCAGGCACATGGGGGGGGGGGGGGGGGGGGGGGGGGGGAGAGCAGATCCAGCCTCTCTACCCTTTTCTCCTATTGGTGTGGAGGATGGAAGGAGGGCCTGGGCACTGTGTGGCACACAGCGGGGGGAAGGGGCAACAAAGAAAAGGAATGATCAGGAGTGACCAGTGCAGTGATGAGCAGCGATCTCCCTGTATGGCTTTCAATGAAGCAGCTGGAAGCTGATTTTCCTCCTCTCCCTTCTGTGGATTCCAGCTGCTTCATTGAAAGCCATACAGGGAGATCGCTGCTTGTCACTGCCCACACCACACCCACCCCTAGTTCCGATGCTGCTCGCCCCCACCTTATTTCCACTCACCACATGCTAGCGGGCAAGTGGAATTTTCGAGGGCTGATTGTGCCTGCTCTGGACACGGCATATTGTGGTTCCAGGTACCAAGCATGATCACAATGTTAATAGAGCAGTCCCGGCTCTGCTCGCCCCCACCTTATTTCCACTCACCAAATGCTAGCAAGAGAGTGGAATTTTCGAGGGCTGATTGTGCCTGCTCTGTGGCTTCCGGTACCAAGCATGATCACAATGTCAATAAAGCAGTTATGAATGAATCTCATTCATAACAGCTCTGCTTTCTATACCAGTGACCTGTGATTGGCCCACAGTTATCACATACCTGGGCCAGTGACAGCACTCTGTACCATGTAATTAGCTGTAACCAGTTACAGATCACTAGTAAGCATTCATTCATGACAGTTCAAAGCATTGTTGTTACAATGGTCATCATTTTAACAGCAAAAAAAAAAAACCCAACAACTCCCTGATCTACCCTCCTACCCCCCCCCCCCCCCCCCCCCAGAGTAGATCAGTGTTGCTATAGCGACACTGAACTACTCCGATGAAAGTATGTAAAAAAAAAAATAAAAATTGGGGCCGGCGCCTCCCGGCCCTTTAAGGGTTTCAGGAGGTGGGGTGGGGTTTAGGGTCATGTGACCGCCATGACACGCGGTCACATGATTGGGAAAGGTCCCGATCGAAAGAGGAGATTGGGATCTTTCCTTGAGTACCGGACATGTGTGCTGGGAGTGGGCAGGGCGCACGCTCTCAGCACATGTTTTTTTTTTTTTTTTAATAGAACGCAAATGTGCGGCTATTCGGTGTCAAGGCGCAGGCGCCGGGAGGCCGCACATTTGCGTTTGGCCGGTGTGAAGAGGTTAAAATAGTTTTATAACCTTTTTCTAACAAATGATGTAAAATTATTTACATTTTTATAAATTCCTTTTTTTTTTAACATTGTCACCAGTCAGTGTCCTTGATTATTGCCACCCCAGCCATATGATGACACTGCACTGGTGACAGCATGTTAAAAAGTTGAAAAAAAAAACCAAAAATTTATTTCATTTCTTAATTTTCCAAAAAAATTGTGACAAAGAATTAAATCCTCCTCAAAAAACTTGCCATGCCTCTTACTGACTATCTCATACTGTCTACTTTCCAAAAAGCGGTAATTTGGGGAGTATTTTATATTGTCCTGGCATTTTAAGGGTCTCAAGAAATGAGATCGACCATCAGTACATCAGGAATGATCAATTTTCAAATATGTATACCATAGTTTGTAGACGCTATAACTCACACAAATCAATTAATATACACTTATTGAGATCTTTTGATTTATTTTTAACAAAGATGTGTAACAGAATACATTTTGGCCTTTTTTTTTTTTTTTATTATACTATGTGATATGTTTTAGAACAGAAAGTAGAAAATAACATTTTCTTTTTCTCAAAATTTGTTTGTTTTTTTTTAATATATTTTTTAAAAAGCGGTGATCAAATACACCAAAAGAATGCTCTATTTGTGTGAAAAAAATAATTATATAAATTTTAATTTGCTTACAGTGTTGCGTGACCATGCAGTTGTCAGTTAAATTAGCACAGTGCCGAATAGAAAAAATGGCCTGATCATGAAGGGGGTAAAACCTTTCAGAGATTTAAGTGGTTAAAAGAAACCTGTGGCCAGATTATGAACATTCAAGTATGTACATGTTCTTGCCTTCCAGACTGTTGGGAGGAAGGCTTTCCCAGTTTCAGCACTGAACTTGTAAGCCACCATGCCAGGGCCAACCTGTTTTTGCTGTCCAGGCATGTAGGATGATCCAAAGATTGTGCTCTCCTGTTCCAAGCTGCCAGAATGTCGAGTTGCAATGGTCTGGCATGAAATTTGGCGTATGGGACTGTCTCGTAGGAGGCCAAAATTAAGCCTAAAGTGCTGAACCCAGATGTCCAAAATGTCCTGGGCCCAGGTGACCACAAAATCCAACAGATGTCCCCCTAGTTTGACAAATGGTGGCGTCCCCTCACTGTGAGGAGTACTTGCTCATGGGTTTGATAGACTTGGGGGTTAAAAGCTGTGTTTTGGCTTTGGAGGCCTAAGAGAGAGGACATTTCTTAGCTCCTTGGGCACAGTGATTCCCACACGGGGATTTTGCCTGTGGCAAAAGGGTACTCTACCCCTATTCCCCCCCATTACTGGTGACCTTAATGAAGTTGTCATTTTCCATAGAAGGGCGTACTGCGTGTCTTGCATTGATGCTCAGCAGTCTAACATGTGGACCAAAATCAGTGCCATTCTGAATATATCGTGTATAAAATCTACCAGCCGATCAAAGCAGAGTAGGACCACAGGTATGAGCTTCAGCTGCTGGAGGACAGGAGAATCCGATAGGATAAAACCAGAATCCCAGGACCTGACCTTGGACCAGACAGCTGAGGTACAGTAAATGGACATGACAGGTTGCAGGGCAGAGCCTTCGAGGCAGAGTAAGGGCTTCTAGCCTTTTATCCACTTGGTCTTTAAACGTGGAGATGTCCTTTACAGATACCTAGTGTTGTTGAGATAGGAAATGACTGTGTCCACAATGGGAACAGATAATTTCCTTAGGAATAACTCCTCAGTAGGCTATTGTTGGGCAAAATGTTTAGGAGGAGCAAAGACTTTATCTGGTTTGGGTCAATCGGAGCCATTTGCAATAGGAAATACAGTGGAAAGGGCTTTTCAGAGAACCCTGACTAGTAACTTTAGACTTTACTCATGCAGTCTGCACATGCCTAGACTTAGAACTAAGCTGAGATGGTATCCTTAAGCTTTGGAGTTATACCTGCAGACTAGGACTCCTTTACAAACTCTTCAAATGAGGAGAGGTACTGTATCCTCTCAATATCCTGAGCTGACCGTGCAGAAACAACTGCAGCCCCCAGGAAATTCAGAGATGGACTCTGGAGCATGCTTGTAGCCCCATGTCGGCTATCATCACTGAACATTTTCCCATAAACTCAGATATAGTAGCAAAGAATTCCTTTCTAGATAAAACAGATGAGTTATTTGCCCCTGAAGGCACTAGAGTGCTGTGATCTTGGCTATCTGTGTCAGGTCCCTTAGGGATATACAATGCAAGACTCTCTGGCACTGTTAGCATATGGTTAGCTGATGAGGACCCCTTGTGCCTATGATCCAACGTACTAGATAGTGAAGGATACTCACAAAAGAAAACTGTTGGAGTAGGAAGGGTGACCAGGTCACTGTAAGGCCAAACATCCAAATTATCGGGATCTGATGTGTGTGCTGAGGAGTTTACACCTGCACCTGAAAGGAGGAATGCACATATGCACTAAGGCCACCAAGAGGGGACTTGAGCAAGAGCAATAGATCACAGAACGTGCTGCTCCAGTGCCAAATTAAAAAGGTGCAACTCCCTTTCCCAGCACTAGTAATGCAACAGTTTGTGTTGAAGCCAAAACCCAGCATATTGAAAATCCAGGAATGTAGCACCAAGTAGGCTCCCTGTACAGAAAGAACAAAAGCCTTGCTCACTGCAGATGAGCTCCTAAGGAGGCCATGCGGCACCCCCTCGTGCACAAGCTGCAAGATGTGCCCATTCTGAAGAAACTTTGTAGATTTGAAAAAGGAATCTTGATAAATAGGGAAAGGTATCTCATGAGATGACATCCATATTCCTAGGAGACTACCAAAAAGCTGAGGCTTACTAGGAGTTGGACGGGTTATATTGGGCTCCCCTTTTTAGTTTTGTTTGCCAGTATCCAAACCTTAATGTACCCGATGTACCTGAATACTTCATCCTACTTTAATGTATAACTAAGAAATAAGCTTTAAAGAAGTTGTCTTATCAGAAATAAAAATTGAACTGCATGTTTATTGGTTCATGTTTAAGTACTAATCTTTTGTAAAAAGAATGGCTAAAGATACCGTAGTAATTCACATCTTTTCAGCTCTTCCCCTGCACGAAACTAGATTTGTGGGTGAGAGCTTGTTTGAAAATCTTATGTGTTTACAGTGACAGAAAAGCTATCTTATACAGTTTTGTTTCGTATTTATGCTGTTTCAACATTCTCCTATGACTAAGCCCATGAAAACTCTGGTTGCTCACAACTATGGTTGAAATGCTTTTAGGTGCTCTTTTAGGTCTGTTTCCTTCTAAGTACTTAGACACTTTGAACAATTAAAATGTGTATGGGAAAAAAAGCATTGTGTTTTGAAGAAAGAAAACATTGCAAAGCCCTGTGCATGGTGTTTCCAGTCTGTGGTTCTTGTGCCTTCAGTATTACTTATATTTTCAGTGTTTGCAAAACCGTGTTTTATGGGGAAGAGGGGGATGCCAGAAGGCAGAGCATCTGCAGTTTATTTGCTGTGTGCATATGACATTCCTTAAGCTGACATGCCCCCTGCCCCAGCTAACACTCCTCTTCTTCCTGGCTGATATGCCCTGGGATGACTTTAGTGCTTCTACTGTTAAAAGGGTGAATTGCTCCACAGTGCCTGCAGCTATATGTCACTGAGGGGTGCATTCACTATATCTGGTCTCCCACAGTACACAGAACATGGAAATACAATTATTTTAGTAAATATAAACTGCTAAATACCTTTTCTTATCAGCAGTTAGAGCAGTCTTGTGACTTCTATCAGTGTCCAGTTGAGCACATGTTAAAGCTTGTAGGAGGAGTTTTCATTCTGCTGTAGTAGGAGGACACAAAACTCCTGACCTGTCTGGACAGTGCTGATTTGGCCCTGTGCTGATCACATGCACTCTCCCAAGAAAAAAAAAAAAGAAGCAATACACACCAAACTGCACATGTGCAGAGGGACTCCACATGATATGTCTTATCAGGAGAAAAGAGGAGGATCAGAGAAGTCAGGATAAAACAGTGTTTTTACACAATGCAGAGTATTATCCCCTTAGGTTCCACAGCGAGTATAACAAGCACCCTTTATTGCATATCCAGACTGATTTTACTGTTGTGGGTTTAGTAACACTTTTTAAAAGCTATTTTTTTTTTGTTTTCTTTGTTAATTAGCTTCAGATAGAATACAACCCCTACCAGGTTCTTATGGCTCTCTTTTTGTGAAAATTCAAACCCTCTTAAGTTCTGGTAATCATTGTAACAAAGTCAGAAAGTGAAGAAAAAACATTTTACAGTTATCACCCAAACAAGAAGTGAGGGTAAATTTGGCAATGGGGACAACTGTTCTGGTGACATCTTTCTAACAGTGAAATTCCCCTCTTTGTATAGATTTTCTCTTTCTTCATATTACTTTTTTAATATTGTAACCTCTGATGAGGAAATAAAGGGAAGTCTTGACAGTGGGAAACAGCAATAAACTTACAGGGTTTTGGGTCTTCCCTAATGTAATCAAAACCGAATTTTAAAACATCTGTTTTCATGAGCTGGAACATGTCCCTTTTTCCCATGTCCCTCACGGTTAGCCCATTAATGTGATGGGCAGTCTCACTGTCCAACAGCAGGGCATAGGTCATAAGGAGGTGGTGTCAGGTCCTTCTCAAGACAATTGTGCTTATCTGAGCTTCTGGACATCAAGGTTCTCGCATTAAAAACAGACCCTATGTTTGCGCCTGGAAGTACACAGGTATGCTGGATTAGGTCACTAATACTTTCAAAATGATTGCAGTTGGAGGAAAGTTATTTCCTAGTTTAAATGTAATATGCAAAGCTTCTTTCATTTTGTCTGTCTTAATTGTTATAGTCTGTAGTTGTGGTGGTGAAGTACAAATTTCTACACTGTAGTCTGATTTTGGACAAAGCCTTTTTTTAAAAACTGTTTTGTTTTCTCAGCAGCGTACCTTGGAAAAATACAGATCACACATAGTATGCCGGGAAAACACAGAAAGGTACTACCCTATTTTGTTGCATTTTTTTTTCAGTAACAAACACAAGACCTATTTTTTACATTCCTTTTTTGTTTACTGGGCTGTTTATGTGTGGCCAATAAAATGTTTATTACCACTGTAGTCCTCTTAGGTTACTTTTGCATTGTTTTCAATTTGTTCATTGTGGAATGTGGTGGTGGTTTACAGCTTGTCTGTAGCCTAAGTCTTTCTTTTGTTTCTCAACTGTAACCCTAATTGTAGTCAGTAAAAAGAAAGACACATCTTTGTTGGGGGTTCTTTAGTTTAGTGACCCTTATTCTTTAAAGAAAAAAAAAATCACAAAAGCCTCAGGGAAAAAAAAAAAGATTTAAGTGAAATACAGGGGTGGAGGACAGACCCTCATCCCAAAAAAACTGACATGAATTCACATGAGCTTGATAAGGCACAGATCGTGTCCAGATTGAATGAACATTATGAGATGGTAATGAGCGTAGAAGGTATGGTGTGACAGTAGCATCATGGCCAGATGTACAGTTGTGTCCAAAATTATTCAACCCCCAATGCTGTAAAGGGGTTTAGGGACTATAGTGTACATTTGGAATTGTATTCAGAATCAAATCCTACAAGGACGTTGTAACTACCCAAATGCAACTAAAATGACATCAATTGTTTATGTAATACAGTAGTAAATGGTTCTTATGTGGTTTCTTCATTGCCACAATTATTCAACCCCTTAAAGACTACCCACTCTGAAGAACAGAGGTTCATACAGGTGCTTTCCATCAGGTATTGAAAACACCTGTGGATGTCACCGAGCAGCAATCAAGCATAATAAGCACCAATTAGGCAGCTTTAAAATGACTGTGATACTCAGCTCCTTCTAGACATTTACTGGTGTGGTTACAAACATGGTGAAGGCAAGAGAATGGTCCAGGAAGACAAGAGAAGAGGTGATTTCTCTTCACAGGAAGGGCAATGGCTATAAGAAGATTGCAAAGATGTTAAAACATACCAAGAGACACCTTAGGAAGCATCATTCGCAAATTCAAGGCAAAGGGCACTGTTGAAACGCTACCTGGTCGTGGCAGAAAGAAGATGCTGACTTCGACTGCTGTGCGCTACCTGAAGCGTAGAGTGGAGAGAAGTCCCCGTGTGACTGCTGAGGAACTGAGAAAAGATTTGTCAGATGTGGGTACAGAAGTTTCAGCCCAGACAATAAGACGCACACTGCGTAATGAAGGCCTCCGTGCCAGAACTCCCAGGCGTACCCCCTTGCTGTCTCCAAAGAATAAGAAGAGTCGACTGCAGTATGCCAAAAGCCATGTGGACAAACCACAAAAGTTGTGGGATAGTGTTCTGTGGACTGATGAAACAAAATTAGAACTGTTTGGGCCCATGGATCAACGCTATGTTTGGAGGAGGAAGAACAAGGCCTATGATGAAAAGAACACCTTGCCTACTGTGAAGCATGGTGGAGGGTCAATCATGCTTTGGGGCTGTTTTGCTTCTGCAGGTACAGGGAAGCTTCAGCGTGTGCAAGGTACCATGAATTCTCTTCAGTACCAGGAGATATTGGATGGAAACGTGATGCAGTCCGTCACACACCTGAGGCTTGGGAGACGTTGGACCTTTCAACAGGACAATGATCCCAAGCATACCTCCAAGTCCACTAGAGCATGGTTGCAGAGGAAAGGCTGGAACATTTTGGAGTGGCCATCGCAGTCACCAGACTTAAATCCGATTGAGAACCTCTGGTGGGACTTAAAGAAAGCAGTTGCAGTGCGCAAGCCTAAGAATGTGACTGAACTGGAGGCCTTTGCCCATGAAGAATGGGCGAAGATACCCGTTAGATCGCTGCAAGACACTTGTGTCAAGCTATGCTTCACGTTTAAAAGCTGTTTATAACTGTAAAAGGATGCTGTACTAAGTACTAAGATTGAATGTCACTTGGGGGTTGAATAAAACTGATAATGCTGTGAGCACAGAAAAGACATTTGTGGTTATTTCATTATAACTGTTATGTTATATTTGTCTGACCTACAAGTGCCTCTTTAATGTAAATGTAAGCAATGACTGAATGATCAAAAGCAATGTCAAACTGGCCAAAACACTCAATTTCAGTGGGGGTTGAATAATTTTGGACACAACTGTATCTAAGTAGTGGGAGGAGTGTTCTCATTCACATCAAGAACAATTGGGAGTCACACAAACAGTAAAGTATGGAAATGGGAGAGGTGGGAAGGAGGGGAGCTTAGCCAAGGCAAAACTGCAATTTCAACTTCAGTTGGTTCTGGTTGTAGGGAGAGGCAGGGGATGAGGATAGAGCGGATGGAAAATACAAGGTTATTAAAAGGTTTGTATTTCCGTCATGCAATCTACTTGTCAGTTCTTTCGTTCTCATAATGGGATTCAGTTCAGTGGTCACATCTGTTATGTTAGCGTTGGGAACAGTTGCAGACCTCTTATGTTCTGGGGATAATTATTCCACCTGTAGAAATTAAAAACCTCAATAGGCCTTGTTTGGTCACCTTAAATGGTCTGTACCTGACTGGCCATGCACTTTGTAAAGCTCACATGTAATGATTTTTCCCAGCCAGCTTTGGTCATTTATAGTATGTCTAGGTTGTAGGTATCTCTGAAAAAATAGAAAAAAAATTTCTGCTTTGCCTCTCTGCTTTCTAACTTGAGCCTTGTGCTTTAAATAGAGGTAATCAGAAAGTTGATGGTCGGTCGACACAAGCAAATGGGGTTAAATCATCTCAGAACTTTCGGGTTGCTTTTGTGAAGGGTAAGTGCAATGTATAAAACTAGGGTTTAATTGATTTTGTGAAATCTAATCTAATAATGCTATAGCAGATTTACAAATAAACTAATAAAATGTAACACGTTTTTTTTTTTATTTAATATTCTTATTAATACAAATTAGACCACCTATTTTTTCATTTTCTCTATTTCCCATTTTGGAGATTTTCTGTACTACTGATGCTTGTTGCACTATGGCAGGGGTTAGGGGGGACACAGGAAGCAATAAAAAAAAAAAAAAAAAAAAAAAAAAAAAAAATATATATAATATATATATATATATATATATATATATATTTTTTTTTTTTTTTTTCAGTGAAGGAAATAAGTTTTTGATCCCCTGCTGATTTTGAATGTTTGCCCACTCACAAAGAAATGATTAGTCTAAAAATCGAATGGTAGGTGTATTGTAACACTGAGAAACAGAATAGCAACAAAAAATTCAAAAGAAATGCATGTCTAACAAATTATGCACGGATTTGCATGTTCATGAGGGAAATAAGTATTTGATCCCCTTCACAAAACATGACTTAGTACTTGGTGGCAAATGCCTTGTTGGCAATCACAGATGTCAGATGTTTCCTGTAGTTGGCCACCAGGTTTGCACACATCTCAGGAGGGATTTTGGCCCACTCCTCTTGGCAGATCCTCTTCAAGTCATTAAGGTTTGGTGGCTAACGTTTGGCAACTTGAACTTTCAGCTCCCTCCACAGATTTTCAATTGGATTAAGGGGTGCAGACTGGCTAGGCCACTCCAGGACCTTAATGTGCTTCTTCTTGAGCCACTCCTTTGTTTCCTTGGCCGTGTGTTTTTGGTCATTGTCATGCTGGAACACCCATCCATGACCCATTTCCAATGCCCTGGCTGAGGGAAGAAGGTTCTCACCCAAGATTTTAACGGTGCAGTTGTCCTGTCCCCTTAGCAGAAAAACACCCCCAAAGCAGAATGTTTCCACCACCATGTTTGACAGTTGGGATGGTGTTCTTGGGGTCATAGGCAGCTTTCCTCCTCCTCCAAACACGGCGAGTTGAGTTGGTGCCAAAGAGCTCGATTTTGGTCTCATCTGACCACAACACTTTCAACCAGTCCTCGTCTGCATCATTCAGATGTTCAGTGGCAAACTTCAGATGGGCCTGGACATGTGCTTTCTTGAGCAGAGGGACCTTGCAGGCACTGCAGGATTTAAATCTTTATCGGCGTAGTGTGTTACCAATTGTTTTCTTGGTGACTGTGGTCCCAGCTACCTGTAGATCATTGTCTAGATCAGCAATAGGCAAACTACGGCCCGCGGGCTGTATACGGCCCGGAGGACCTTTTAATCCAGCCCGCGGAGCTAGGCTCCTCTCACAGTCCGCCCTGAAGACTGGTGTAGCATGAAAATCTGTCTCCTATGAGGATCTGTCCCCCTCGACGTATCTGCGCATGTGCCGGAGATCGCCGATCGGCTGCTAATGCCTGAAACTGGCACATGCGCAGATACGTCGAGGGGGACAATTCCTCATAGGAGACAGATTTTCATGCTACACCGGAACGGCGCGGGAACACAGCGAGAGGAACGCGCGGAGCAAAGGTAAGTGAATTGACACAGGGGGGAATTGGGGAATGAATTACTGTAGGGGGGGATGAATTACTATAGGGGGGATGAATTACTATAGGGGGGATTAATTACTATATGGGGGATTAATTACTATATGGGGATGAATTACTATGGGGGAAGAATTACTATATGGGGGATGAATTACTATGGGGGATGAATTACTATATGGGGGATTAATTACTATGCTTACTATGGGGGAATATTACTATACTTACTATGGATGACACATACACATCATTCATCTACTCTTGGTCCGGCCCCTGGGTCCAATATATGAACCCATTGCGGCCCTCAAGTCAAAATGTTTGCCCACCCTTGGTTTAGATCCTCGCGTGTAGTTCTGGGATCATTCTTCACTGTTCTTATGATCATTGACACTCCACGAGCTGAGATCTTGTATGGTGCACCAGACCTAGGGAGACTGACAGTTGTTTTGTGTTTCTTCCATTTGCGAATGATTGCACCAACTGTTGTCACCTTCTCACCAAGCTGCTTGGTGATTGTTTTGTTGCCCAGTCCAGCTTTGTGTAGGTCTACAATCTTGTCCCTGACATCCTTGGACAGCTCTTTGGTCTTTGCCATGGTGGAGAGTTTGGAATCTGATTGTTTGATTGCTCCTGTGGACAAGTGTGTTTTATACAGGTAACAAAATGAGATTAGCAGCACTCCTTTTAAGAGACTGCTTCTAATTTCAACTTGCTACCTGTATGAAAGACACCTGGTAGCCAGAAATCCTGCAGAATGATAGAGGATCAAATACTTATTTCCCCCCATGAACATGCAAATCAGTTCATAATTTGTTTAGACATGCATTTCTTTTGAGTTTTTTGTTGCTATTCTGTCTCTGTGTTACAATACACCTACCATTCTATTTTTGGACTGATCATTTCTTTGTGAGTGGGCAAACATTCAAAATCACCAAGGGACCAAATACTTAAAACACACACACACACACACACACACCTTTCCGAAGTGAAGGAAAAAATCTTGTCAGAATGAATTAAAGAAAAGAAAATTGAAACATGTTTTCTACATGTATACTAAAGACATGGTACCATATTGCCTAGTTTCAGAAACCCCTATGTGTGTGATATTAGTGATAGGGCTTTACAGTCAGTAGAAATATCCCTCAATTTTCTCACCATTGCTGTCTTGTGCGGACCTTTGACTTTGTCAAAATATGGAAAGGCTATTTCTTATTAAAAATATTAAATGAACTGTGATATTTAAAATGATACCTAGTAGAAAAACCCTGGACAAGGTAATTATGTAGAAAAAACATTTGCATAAAAGTTCTTCCAGCTTGACCTAGCCAGCAAGCAAATTTTTGGGGCAGGTTAACCCTGTGCATTCATTTAAGCCTATGAGAATTGACATTTATATTTGGCACAAACCTTTCATCATCATCATCATCATCATCTAATTGCAGCACACCAACAGCTTTTAACGTATGAGTTTTGCACTTGTGGACCCAATCTACTCAGTGACTCTTAATCTTAACAGTACATCTAGAATGTAAAAAAAATACAATCTGATTAAAAAACTAAAACGTTTTGATTGCATAAGTATCCATAAAGGCATAGATTATCCCTGGGACTTTGAATGCGGCACAACACATGCAATCAGTAAATAACACACACACATTTGTCTGAAGTACCATTTTTCTTTAACAAATGAATGTTCATATTAAAATTGTTTCTTTAGAATGAGATCTGTGAGTAATCATGTCCATAACAAAAATCATGTAGATAAAGGGAGGGGGGAGAAAGGATTGTGTTTTTTTCATTTCAAAAAAAAAAAAAAAAAAAAAAAAAAGCTTTGAAACTTTACTAACAAAAACAGTACCCCTCTGCAGTGGGGATAAATATCAAAACCATATATAATACTTCTCAGATTGTTATATTAGTAAAGAGAGAGAGAGAGCACAGTCCATTCATTTAGTACATTGCTTTATCCAGTGATCTGTCTAGCCAATGAGTATGCTCCCAGCCATATTTGCAAGAGAACTTCCAGCTGTATGTACAGATGCTATGGTGCTAGCAACAGCCGGATCATGGAGGCAAGTTTGGTAGTAGATCAGCAGCCTATAATCATTAGGAGTGATTCAACTTGTATCACAGAAAAATTATATTTTTGATGTAGATATTGTTATAAAAATTCCAAATAAATTCTATTAAATTTCAGGTTGTAACACTGAAGCCTTGGAAGTGAAGTTATGCAGCGCAGTACTATCACAAAGATAAATACTATAAGGCCTCAATTCAACCATACCAGGGGAGCCATATGTGCAGCATATAGCCTGCCATACAAGTAGATGTCTGGACAAGGCCATGCTTTTGTAAATGCTGCTGCTTCTGTGCATTGGCATTTACCAGCAAATTCATGTTTGACTTATGTGAAAATCCGCACCAATGTGTACAAGACTACGAATGGGTACCAACCCACAGCTACCACACAGGCCATATTTCAGACATCACAGTATGGTGATGGTTTTCAGCACAAGTGTGGAAGTGACCTCAGATTACATATGTGGGTGGAGGGCACTTTCCCCACAGTGATACTAGAGGGGGGCCTGCCTGCGTGTGATTGTAAAGTGGGCAATCACAGCTGCCATATTTGTGGCTTCCAACTGCCAACTGTGTCAGCCTCTAAAAGAGCTCAGAAAGGCAGATATGGCTCAACGGGGGGGGTGTTAATGGCCACTACCATTAAGCCGACACATAATTGCTTGCTCCCAGCATCTTGCCAGATGCCCTTCTCTTACTGCCTTGCCACCAACATTTGCAGTGCTCCCACTACAGCCAAGACAACAGCCCCTCTGCCACCAGCACACCTGCATTTCCACAAGGTAGTTGAGGGTGGTTGTAGAGTAGGCCGCATGCGCATATATATATATATATATATATATATATATATATATATATATATATATTCACACACTGTATTGCCAAGAGTATTGGGACGCCTGCCTTTACACGCACATGAACTTTAATGGCATCCCAGTCTTAGTCTTACCACCTTTTGCAGCTATAGCAAATTCAACTCTTCTGGGAAGGCTGTCCACAAGGTTTAGGTGTCTGTCTGTGGGAATGTTTGACCATTATTTCAGAAATGCATTTGTGATTTGTCACTAGAGAACACGTTGGCACTGCTCTAGAGTCCAGTGGCAGCCTGCTTTACACTACTGCATTCAACACTTTGCCTTGTACTTGGTGATGTCAGGCTTGGATGCAGCTGCTCGGCCATGGAAACCCATTCCATGAAGCTCTCTATGCACTGTTGTGCTAATCTGAAGGCCACACAAAGTTTAGAGGTCTTTAGCTATGGACTCTGCAGACATTTGGTGACTTCCTCGCACTGTGTGCTTCAGCATGCGTAGACCCCGCTCTGTCATATTACGTTTTCCTACCATTTCGTGGCTGAGTTGCTGCTGTTCCCAGTTGCTTCCACTTTGTTATAATATCACTAACAGTTGACTTTGGAATATTAAATAGCAAGGAAATTTCACAGATGGACTTATTGCACAGGTGACAACCTATCACGGTACCACGCTTGAATTCACTGTGCTCCTGAGAGCGACCCATTCTTTCACAAATATTTGTAGAAACAGTCTGCATGCCTAAGCGCTTGATTTTATACACCTGTGGCCATTGAGGTGACTGGAACACCTGAATCCAATTATTTGGAGGGTTGTCCCAATATGTGTGTGTGTGTACATACACTCTGAAGTGTATTCTTAATCAGAACCCTAACCTTGATGGTAAATACTGCTATCCGTAAACCTGATGTAGTAAAATAGGAATTATTTAATTTTGGTATTTATGCAGCATGTAAAACAAGTATTGAACATGTCACAATTTTTCTAGGTAAATAGGTGCTATTGACATGAAATTTTCACCATATGTGGATAACCACTCATGCAATCCATACATACAAAAGAAAACAAAATAAATAAGTTCAGAAATGAAGTTATGTGTAATAAAATGGAATGACACAGTGAAAAAGTATTGAACACATGAAGAACGGGAGGTGCAAAAAGGCATGGAAAGCCAAGACGCAAGCTGAAATCTTTCAGTAATTAGAAAGCAATCCTGCCTCTTGTCATTGCAAATTAATATCAGCTGGTTCAGTCTCTAATGGCCTATAAAAGGTGTCTCATTACCAAGGGTGTTACATAAGAAACATCTCATGATGGGTAATAGCAAGGAGCTCTCAAGATCTTTGCAAGCTTATTGTTGCAAAATATACTGATGGCATTGGTTACAGAAGGATTTCTGAATGTTCCAGTGAGCACTGTTGGGACCATAATCCGGAAGTGAAAAGAACATAATTTCACCATAAACCGACCAGGAGTTCCTCGCAAGATTTCTGACAGAGAAGTGAAAAGAATTATCAGAAAGGTTGTCCAAGAGCCAAAGACCACTTGTAAAGGGCTTCAGAAAGACCTGGAATTAGCAGATTCAATTGTTAAAAGAAAACATTAAGTAATGCACTCAATCACCATGGCCTGTATGCACACTCAGCACGCAAGACTCCACTTATGAAGAAAAAGCATGTTGAAGCTCGTTTAAAGTTTGCTGCACAACAATTAGACAACCCTGTGAAATACTGGGACAATATAGTCTGGTCAGACGAGACCAAAATTTTAACTCTTTGGATGCCATAATACTCATTATGTTTGGAGGTCAAATGGCACTGCCTTCCTCCAAAAACACCATTCCAACAGTGAAGTTTGGAGGTGGGATTGCATGGATTGGTACCGACCTGAAAATTTCATGTCAATAGCATCTTTAGAAATATATTTACTGAGAAAATAGGTGGCGTGTTCAATACTTATTTTACCTGCTGTAAGAATAAAGACCTGTTGCTTTTTAGTGTCTGTTTTGATTGGTGGCATTTGTGCAGATTGCTCTTCTTTGCTTCTGTCTACCCTAAGCAAATGTTTGGATTAATAGAATGGAAATCTTACTTTACGGTTTGGCCACAGTGCAGGTGTACCCTTGAGTTTAGTGCAGTTAACCTGCGGTTTCCTATTTCTATTATATCTTGTGTTTTTGGTGCGTTTTCTGAAACCACACCAAAGATGCCACAGGAAGGAGTTTTTGGTGCGTTTCCAGAAAATGTGGCAAAAACGTGGGATAATAATTAGGTATGTACCAAAATTCCGGCTGCCGAAACCTATCTGTCAAAAATAGCCCTATCACATTTTGCAGATATGAAAAAAGTGAGCCGATACATGTGCCAATAATTGTGGCCTGAGGGGTGGAGTATTTGTCCGGAGGGTTTGGGGAGCTGTGTGTATTGCAGATGGGGCGGGGGCGTAGAAAGGCAGCAGAAGGGGGTAAGCAGTGTATACAATGAAGGAACAGGGTAAACAGACAGGCTCCCTTACTTGCCGCCTCTGAATGTCATTGCCAGTTTTTAAATGCAAATGCCGGCTTTTTTTTCTTCACTTTATTGCTCCAAGAAGGAGCTCTCATTTTCCCTGCCGCTAAAGTAAACAAAGGGGCAGAGGGCACCCAGTGACATTACCCAGCGACCCCATGCCCCTTTGTTTACTTTAGCGGCAGGGAGCTATAAAGTGAAGAGCAAAAAAAAAAAAGCCGGCATTTGGATTTAAAAACCGGCAATGACCATTAGCGACGGCAAGTGAGGGAGCCTGTCTGTATACACTGTTCCCTCAATGTATACACTGCTCCTCTCCTGCCCCCCTTCTTGCACACACAGCACCCCCTTCTCCTCCCCCCTTCAAAGAGGACCTGTCACTTGTATGCTATCACATACGGGACTATTAGTCCCCTATGTACTAGCAATAAAATTATAAGTTAAACAAAAACACATTAAACGTAAAAAAAAAAAGAGAAACAAAAGAAAAATTAAAGCCTCCCCACCCAAACATATACGCAGACATTTCGGTTTTTGGCCAAGTGCATCCTGAAATTTCTGTTTCGGCACCAGAATTTGCATTTCGGTGCACCACGAATAGTAGTATTGGAAACCACGAGTACACCCTCGCTGTGGCCAAGCTGCAGCTCAGCAATGTGAAACAGCCCTTAAAAAGTTGACATAGGCCTCAAATTTCATTAGGTAGTGTATTTCAGCCACTGCTTTCAGACAGCGTAACTGTGACATGTAGATGGATTCTATCTGTACACTGCTCTCATGCACCACCAATCTGCTTTTGACAGATACAAGTTACCTGTCAATATTGTAGTACGGTTTTCACATAATTGTAGTTATCTGTAATTCCACTTTAAAGAATACAAACTCAAATCTGACTTCAATGGTGGCTTTTCTTTTCTAACAATTATTTGTTCTTTCCTAATTCCAGATGAGTAATTATTTGGATTTAGTCAAATGTCAATCAAATTATAGCTATTCTATAGGCAAAAATATTTAAAAGAACATTTCTTTGTCTTTTGTTTTTAGATGCAACACAGGAAGTTGGGTCGGGGCATGAAACGTGTGGCGAGACCTCTTCTGAGAGTTACAGTTCACCACCTAGCCCCCGCCATAACAGGAGGGAGAGTTTTGAAAGTGAAGAAGAGAAAGACAGAGGTTGGCACCAAAAAGGGCAGCTTGTATGAATGGGAAAATGGATTCAGTGTAATAATGGGGTAGTCCGGTTTAGAACTTACAGTCAGGTCCATAAATATTGGGACATCGACACAATTCTAACATTTTTGGCTCTATACACCACCACAATGAATTTGAAATGAAACAAACAAGATGTGCTTTAACTGCAGACTGTCAGCTTTAATTTGAGGGTATTTACATCCAAATCAGGTGAACGGTGTAGGAATTACAACAGTTTGCATATGTGCCTCCCACTTGTTAAGGGACCAAAAGTAATGGGACAATTGGCTTCTCAGCTGTTCCATGGCCAGATGTGTGTTATTCCCTCATTATCCCAATTACAATGAGCAGATAAAAGGTCCAGAGTTCATTTCAAGTGTGCTATTTGCATTTGGAATCTGTTGCTGTCAACTCTCAAGCTGAGATCCAAAGAGCTGTCACTATCAGTGAAGCAAGCCATCATTAGGCTGAAAAAAACAAACCCATCAGAGAGATAGCAAAAACATTAGGCGTGGCCAAAACAACTGTTTGGAACATTCTTAAAAAGAAGGAACGCACCCGTGAGCTCAGCAACACCAAAAGACCGGGAAGACCACGGAAAACAACTGTGGTGGATGACCGAAGAATTCTTTCCCTGGTGAAGAAAACACCCTTCACAACAGTTGGCCAGATCAAGAACACTCTCCAGGAGGTAGGTGTATGTGTGTCAAAGTCAACAATCAAGAGAAGACTTCACCAGAGTGAATACAGAGGGTTCACCACAAGATGCAAACCATTGGTGAGCCTCAAAAACAGGAAGGCCAGATTAGAGTTTGCCAAACGACATCTAAAAAAGCCTTCACAGTTCTGGAACAACATCCTATGGACAGATGAGACCAACATCAACTTGTACCAGAGTGATGGGAAGAGAAGAGTATGGAGAAGGAAAGGAACTGCTCATGATCCTAAGCATACCACCTCATCAGTGAAGCATGGTGGTGGTAGTGTCATGGCGTGGGCATGTATGGCTGCCAATGGAACTGGTTCTCTTGTATTTATTGATGATGTGACTGCTGACAAAAGCAGCAGGATGAATTCTGAAGTGTTTCGGGAATATTATCTGCTCATATTCAGCCAAATGCTTCAGAACTCATTGGACGCTTCACAGTGCAGATGGACAATGACCCAAAGCATACTGCAAAAACAACCAAAGAGTTTTTTAAGGGAAAGAAGTGGAATGTTATGCAATGGCCAAGTCAATCACCTGACCTGAATCCGATTGAGCATGCATTTCACTTGCTGAAGACAAAACTGAAGGGAAAATGCCCCAAGAACAAGCAGGAACTGAAGACAGTTGCAGTAGAGGCCTGGCAGAGCATCACCAGGCATGAAACCCAGCGCCTGGTGATCTCTATGCGTTCCAGACTTCAGGCTGTAACTGACTGCAAAGGATTTGCAACCAAGTATTAAAAAGTGAAAGTTTGATTTATGATTATTATTCTATCCCATTACTTTTGGTCCCTTAACAAGTGGGAGGCATATATGCAAACTGTTGTAATTCCTACACCGTTCACCTGATTTGGATGTCAGTACCCTCAAATTAAAGCTGACAGTCTGCAGTTAAAGCACATCTTGTTCGGTTCATTTCAAATCCATTGTGGTGGTGTATAGAGCCAAAAATGTTAGAATTGTGTCGATGTCCCAATATTTATGGACCTGACTGTATATCAAAGAGTTGGAAGTCAATATTGAAAAATAGTGTTTTTCTACACATTTTTGTTAACATTGCTATGGCATTAAGGATGGAAGCACAGGCAATTTTGTTAGTACAATCTTGCTACTAAGCATATGTTAACGATTGTTCAGTATACGTAGGGAATAGTGAAGTGTAGCATATTGGAACGATTAACCTCTAATAATAACATCATGCTCTAAATTTGTGTACTCAATAGCTTTTACATTCACCTATGTCTGATTGCTGATGATTTTAGTAGCATGATTGAATGAGCAAAAATTGGCTATAGGCACCCAGTTTTAAATGCACTGAAGCTTGCAGCTCGCAAGTTCTACTTGCGCCAGTTAACCTACCAGCATGTGTTTGGAGCATGAGAGGAAACCAGAGTACCAGGAGGATAACCAAACGGGCACAAGGAGAACATGCAAACTCCAGGCAGGTAGTGCCATCTTAGGGATTTGAACTGATGACCTTAATTTAGGCTAAAATAAGTCATTTAAAAAAAGTTATTACACTTTTATCTGTCTAGTCTAAGTGACAAGACAGTGAAAGCATGATTATCTTTCTAACCTAGCCATGGTTACTTCTGTTACACTCCTTTCTAAAACAACTATCGGGGGGGGCTACAGGTTTGAAATGTATTTTCTGTCTTATGACTTCAAGATTGGTCTTCTAAAACATAAAAGCAGCTTAAAGTGGTTCTAAAGTCAAAACTACTTGATCCTACCCTCCCCCCTAAACACTTACCCGAGTCCTCTCTCGATCCAGTGATGTGCCCATGTGCAGCCCTACTCCTCTCTTCCTTTTCTTATAGATGACACAGGCAGCAGTGGGAACCATAGGCTCCTGCTGCTGTCAGTCAAATACTATGAGGTGGGAGCGTGGCAGGGCCATGCTGTGTGCCAATGGATGAACACAGCCTGGCTCAGGAGCATGCCTGCACATGTGCTCCCATTGCACATGGCTTCTTGAGGGTGAACACAGAGAAGAGAGGAGCAGAGAGTTCCCTCAGGGGACTCAAGACTGTACAGGTAAAGTAAGGGACCACTCTGTGCAATACCTATAAAGTATAACATGTTTTTATTTTTTAAGAAAAAATGTGCCTTTAGAACCACTTTAAGGTATATACAGCTGCATCATCTCTAGGAAATGCTGCTGACTGTACATAAGCATGCACAGCGTGGAACAAACTGCTTGACAAGTCATTTTAGAATATCATACTTTTACTGTATAGTGAGTTGCCTCATTCAAACTACATCAGGTGTATGAACTGCAGTTGTGGACTGCTTATTTCATACACAATTCCAAGAGGTAATCATTCACCCAGAGTATAGTAGTGTTTTAGAAATCCAAAACCAATTTATTACTTTTAAAAAGTAAAAATGTCACAGACCCATATGAATTGAAAATAAGCACATTATGATTAGATATGCCAGCAGTCCAGGTTTACTTTAAAATCAGCTGAGGGTTACTTTTAAGATCACATTTAAAAAGCTTAATTGGTTTTCAAATTGTTTCGAAATTCTTATAGTATCATTACTTGTTTATAAAACAATATACAACTGCAAATGTCTTCAGTTTATCATAATCATATTCTCAACTGTTCCCAGTTTAATTTCTGTTTGATATATTTTTTTTTAACAGACACAGACAGCAATTCAGAGGATTCTGGCAAACATGTTCCTGGATTCCCAACTTTTGGTTCAGTAAATACATCATCAGCCAAGTTATCTGACCACCTTACTAGTAATGAAGAAAGTATTGATGAACCCTTGAATGGTCGCAACTTTACGCAGTTTCCTCTTTTGAATACATTGCACTCCATGATGGCATCTAACATAGAGAAGTTGGAGCCTGGGCATCCACTTCCGACAGAAGGAAAAACTCTGGGTATGATAGTCAGCCCAGTTTCTATTCCCCCTGTGAGAGAGGTTATTCACCAGAGTTCCATTGGAATTGGTGTTGCCACTGTAGCCTCCACCATAGGGGAGCCAGAGAAGTGCATTGATATACTGAAATCCTCAATGCCTGTCCCTTCCACTTTTCTTCCAAGGAACTGTTCACCCAGCAGCCCCGCTTTGCAAATGCCAGTTCACAGGCTGAAAGTACCAACTCAGGGGTCAGCAGAGGCTTGTACTGTTAATGGATCAACACAGACTAATATGGGTTTGGGAACTGCCAATGCTGGATTTATTTCATTTCACAACCATGCGGGCTTTACAGCTTCTCCTGTGACTGCTTCAGAACCTCTCAGTAAACCAATTTCACAAGTAGCAAGTCTTAATCAGGTAGTGCCTCATCTGGATGGAAATTTGGGGATTGCATCTCCGACTACCAATGTGAAGTTGGTTCTTTCAAGCACTAACTTGACCCCAGCACCTTCAACAGTCCCGTACCCTCTTTCTGGACCATCACTTCCAAGTGGAGTGTTACCTGCTCCTAACACCAATGTGCTGAATGCTGCTGCCTGCTGCTGCTCCTCAGCCAACTAATATTGGTATAGGTCAGGTGCAGTCTGCCGTTCCCCTCACTGTTCCTACCCATAGCCCTGGTCCTGCACCCAGTCCAAGCCCTGCGTTGACCCACAGTACTGCACAGAGTGATAGCACTTCTTTCATTAGTGCGGCAGTTGGTAATACTAGCACAAATGGCACGCTTTTATCACCACAGCAAATGGGCACTGGGGCATGTGTCTCTTGTGGACGTCGATGCAGTTGTGGAGTACCGATGGGCAGTTACTATTATCCTAATCCAATCCCTGGACAGATGTTCACTCGAGTTCCATTTCCATTTCCTATGCCATCAATCTGCAATAGCACCTACCTCAACCAAGCACACCAGAGCAATGGAACACACTATCCTGTCTTCCTGCATCAGCCTCCCTATAACAATGGACTAATGCATGACCCTGTGCTTGGTGGCCAGGCCAACTATGGCATGCAGCAGATGGCAGGGTTTGCTAGGTTGTACCCAATTTACCCAGCAACCAATGTAGTAGGCAACGCTAATGGATCGGTGGCTAAGAAAAATGGCAATATCTCATGCTTCAACTGTGGGGTAGCTGGTCATTATGCACAGGACTGTAAGCAACCACCTATGGAGGCCAATCAGCAAGGTAATCGTGATACTTCCCAGAGGACTTGTTTCTAAATTTTCTTGTTTCTTCTGTTTCAACATGATTGGTATTTGGGTGTGTGTGTGTGTGTGTGCGCGCACGCGTGTGTGTCCTGTTCTCCCACTTTGCTGGCCACAATGGTGTAGACCATTCTAATGAATCATTCTGACCATTTGCTAAAAACTGAAAACAAGCTGGTAAAGTCCCTCTGTATTTGTTTTGTATTTTGTGTGTCTAATAACTTAAAACTCCTGTGCCTCTGTAACTCAATGTCTGTCTGTTGTATTGCAAATTTATAATGTGTAACTTGTTGTAGCCAAGTGAAGAAATTAAGATAATATTGGGGGATGTAAAAAACTGCCCCCCATAAGACGTTTATTAAGGTTTAAGGCTGTTGAATGGGTCTCCACCATGTGTTACTATAGCAACTGTGATGCTCAATCACCCACTGAAAAAGTGCCTTTTTGATTTTGTGCTTATTTACCCCATAAATATTTGTTGAACTTTTTCTAGTTTGTAAACATTGACTCAGAAGTTCTCTTTCCTGTTTTAGGCACTTTCAGGCTGAGGTATGCACCTCTCCCTAATCCCTCTCATGATTCTTTGGATTCTACTGACTGACACCAGTTCACAAAAAAATTATTACATGTACGTTGAATCTACTTGTAACGTTACCATATGGAAAATTCACTTTCCTTTTCATGATGGGTTTAGGAGCTAGAGTGTTTACAACTTCAAGGTGACAAGAAGCCCATTACTGTGCCATGAATTATGTACCTCGAACTGAAGAAGTGTACATGGCATACCGGTTTCAACAGGGCAAGGCCTTACGTGATGAACAGAGGCAAAATAACCTGCCTAGGATGCTTGGATCTACAGTGTGGTGGGAAACCGAGATGAAGAGGAATCCCAATGTTTTGCAAAAATGTAAATGTTCCTGATATTTCAGTGACATGTTCCGTTGTTCATTTCTGTGACTTATCTTTGAATCTGTAGTGCATCTTCTGTCTAGCGCACAGTGTATTATGTAAAGCTCTCAGCTGTAGATTCAAAAGTCACAGCAGAAGTTTGGTGTGTAACAGGAAGACAGCAAAGTTCAACTTTGTAAGTGTATTGAAGATGCTTTTTCTTCACCCTTTTGAGTTCTATGTATTAGGTAAAACCATGCCTATAAAACGTAAGAGCTAACACCTCCAAGTCAAAAGCTAGTGAAGTATCTGAATATTTAGTTTCAGATGGTGACTTGGAAGACCTCTCATAACAAGTTATCCTGTTGATGCAGAGAACCCCTTCGCCCCTTTGCATCTGCTGTTATGTTAACTGCAACAGTTTGACGTTTGATTGATAAGTATTTTTATTTTGTAGAAAACAAAATAACCTATGTTATAGGTTTTCTTTAAGCTTATCTGACTGCTGTTGAATTTAGACAGAAATGTTCTGTCAATGCAGTCCGGCTTTGGGTTATCCTTGTGGCAGAGCACAATGGTGCCTCTGCAAGGCATATCCAAGCCTAATTTATTTAACGCTTAAGACATATTACAGTATTTAAGTATGAGAAGTTTCAGTCCTTTATTTTGAAGACTATTCTTGTTAATTGGAAAGAGTAGTAGAGTTAACTATTTAATTGTTCTGTTTATCAAATCTACCACTGAGCATATCTCATAATGTGAAGATGATTATTTTTGTGTTCTTTAAGGATCTGAGGTGGTATTTTTATATGTGTCAGTTGTCTAAACTGAAAACCGCTACATGCATGGTCCATGTTAGTCTGAAAATTGCTATATCAGTATGTGTGGGAAAGCACCCTGCCCTATTACATAAGTGAAACATACAACAAAAGCTAAATGCAACATCTTCGTGAACACACACTTTTATGATGGAGTATAGTGTTTTCCCATGTATGCCCATTTCACTGCTGAAGCAATGATCAGATTAAAGGAAACCTGTAGTGATAGAAAAATAAGAGCTGCCTTCTTAAAATGCCAGTTGCCTGGCTGTTTCTAGTTTCCATGTGTTATAAATCAATGTCCCAGAACTATCATGCACATGTGAAAGTTGGAGTACAGTCAGAACCCCTGATATGCATATTGTTACAAGTCTGTGATGCCAAGTTTTGAAGCCATTGAATCAGCATGAAGACCAGGCTACTAGCATTCTCAGGAGGTGAGGTCAGTAATGGCAGCCTTCATGTTTTTCACAGTACTGTTTTTTCTTTAATATGAGGAAACATATTGTGGTCTTCATTGAAGAAATTCAGTGTGCAAAGACACTATTCTGTCCTTGCCCTTAGGGTCAGTGTCATGTCATCTTAAGATGTTTGCTGCTGTTTTACAGTTTCTATATATATTTTTTAAAAAAGCCAATATATGCACTACAATTTCTTGATTCCAGGTAATGCTTGACATACCCTTGTGCACTGAGGTTATCTGGGAGATAGGTGTGTATTCTGTGTCAAACGGCAGCCATTTACCAGCATAATATTACTGTTTTTTTCCTTGTGCGCATTCCTTTAACTTCCATTTGCTGGGAAGTATTTTTTTTTTTTTTTTTTTGCAGATGCATTTTTTTTTTGTAGGTCCTAATTATATTCTTTCAGAACAGGTAAATGTAGGCTTGTTATAAACACATATTTAAAATGAAAATATGGTGACTAAAACCATAGAGAATTTTTTTTAAACTTTAAAATCTTATTGCAAAAAGTCTCTTCTTGAATTTCAAAACTTGAAAAAAAAAAAAAAATATATATTGATGATATCTTGAATTAAACTATTTTTGTCTTCCCCAGCTATACTGCATCAAAATATGATGTTTGAGGATGACAAAATGTGTAGTTGACATAGAAAAAGTTCACAAAAAAGCTTTAATTTAAGAAGAAGAAAATCTTATAAATATTTTATTTGATCTAGGTATTTTGGATATGATTGAACACAGCGAAGGTGTAGTACAAGATTCCTCTTCGGTTAGATTAAGCAGCAAGGATTAAAGCAGCAAAAAGGAGATAGGAGGATTCTACAATACTTCAAGAGTGAGGTGTTACCTTCTCTTTATTTGTATGTTTACCATATTCTTTGATATTTCAATTGTTATGTACTGGAAAGGTTACTTATATTTCTAGAACAGATTCTGAATTTTATGCAAACTTATTTCCTTGAATTAACAGCAATAAAAAAACAGGAAAGCTTTTTGCTCACGTTTCCTATTGATTTATATTTGAACATTGATCTGCAACCTGTAAATACAAAGTAGAAATGGATCATTAGACTTGGATACAAAAAAGTCACACAATGTAGGACATGAATTTTAAACTCTAACAGTATTAGTGCAGAGGAGGAACAAATAAAGAAAATGAATACTCCCCAGCAGCTGGCAACACTATGACCCCTGGGCAGACTAAAACAGACAAACTCAAAACCAGCTCTATAAGGACTCTGCATATTGGGACTATTTTCTTTTGATGGAGGTTTTGAAAACAGAAAATGTTTTTTTTCTAGGACTCTCACCATATGCGAGTTGATAATATCTGGATCTACAGCCATGACCAAAGGTTTTAACAATGACACAAATATTAATTTTCACAAAGTCTGCTGCTTCAGTGTTTTTAGATCTTTTTGTCAGATATTAACATGGTATATTGAAGTATAATTACAAGCATTTCATAAGTGTCGGTTTTTATTGACAATTACATTAACCACTTGCCCTCCAGAGGATTCCCACCCCCAATGACCAGGCCTCTTTTTGCTATTCGGCGCTGCATTATTTCAACTGACAATTGTGTGTGGTCATGCAATGCTGTACCTAAATGAAATTTACATCCTTTTTTTCACACAAATAGCTTTCTTTTGGTGGTATTTGATCACCTGTGCTTTTTATTTTTCACACTATAAACAAAAAAAAAGACCGAACATTTTGAAGAAAAACTATATTTTTTACTTTAGGCTATAAAAAATATATAGTAAACTCAAAGTTAGTCATAAATGTAGGCCAAAATGTATTCTGCTACATGTTTTTGGTAAAAAAAAAAATCCCAATAAGTGTATATTGATTGGTTTGTGTGAAAGTTATAGCATGGGCAGCACAGTGGCTTAGTGGTTAGCACGTCTGCCTTGCAGTAAATGGGTCATGGGTTCGATTCCCGACCATGGCGCCACCTGCATGGAGTTTTCATGTTCTCCCTGTGCTTGCGTGGGTTTCCTCCGGGTTCTCCGGTTTCCTCCCACACTCCAAAGAAATGCTGGTAGGTTAATTGGATCCTTTCTAAATTGGCCCTAATATGTGTATGTATGAATGTGAGTTAGGGACCTTAGATTGTACACCCCTTGAGGGTTAGGGATTGATGTGAATGTACAATATATATGTGTAAAGCGCTGCGTAAATTGACAGCGCTATATAAGTACCTGAAATAAATAAAAAATAAATCTACAAACTGTGGTGTATATATACTGTAATTTACTTCATTTTTTTTTTATGCTATAGAGCGCTGCACTAGCTTAACTGAGAATTGCGCGGTCATGCAATATGGTAGATAAATGAAATTTACATCCTTTTTTTCACACAAATAGAGCTTTCTTTCGGTGGTATTTGATCACCTGTGCACTTTTTTGGCGCTATAAACAAAAAAAGTTTTGAAAAAAAAAATGTTTTTGAAAAATACACAATATTTTCTAATTTCTGTCAAAAAATATCCAAAAAACTCAAATTTTTTTTATAAATTTAGACCAAAATGTATTCTGCTACATGTTTTTGGTTACAAAAATCCCAATAAGTGTATATTGATTGCTGTGTGTGAAAGTTATAGCGCCTACAAACTATGGTATAGATAATGGAATTTACACAGCTTTTACTTTCTGACTGCCCATCACATTTCTTGAGGTGCTAAAATACCAGGATAGTACAAAACCCCCAAATGACCTCTTTTTGGAAAGTAGACACGCTAAGCTATCTGCTGAGAGGCATATTGAGTCCATGGAAGATTTTTTTTTTTCCACAAATATTTGTGTACAAAAATAAAATTTTTTGTAATTTTCCAAAGTTGTCATTTAAATTATATATTTCTCACACAAGCCATGGGTATAAGTGGAATTACACCCCAAAATACATTCTGCTACATCTACTGAGTATGGGGATACCACATGTGTGAGACTTTTTGGGAGCCTGGCCACATACAGGAGCCTGAAATCCAATGACCACTTTGAAAGCCTGAAGGTGCGTAACTTCCTCATTTCACTTCCTCACTACCTATCACAGTTTCGGAGGTCCTGAAATGCCAGGATAGCACCACCCCCCCCCCCCCCCTTCCAAATGACCCCTTTTTGGAAAGTAGACAGCCCAAGGAATTTAAAAAGAGGCATGGTGAGTATTATGCAGATCTTTTTTTTTTTATATTTGAAAACTTTGTGAGAAAAAAATAAGAAAAGAAAAAATGTTTTCTTTTCCAAAAACTTGTGGCAACAAACAAGATCTGAAAAATACTCACCATGCTTCTTATCAAATTCTTTGGGGTATCTATTTTCCAAAAAGGGGTCATTTGGGGGGTATTTGGTGCTATACTGGCATTTCAGGACCTCTGAAACTGTGATAGGCAGTCAGGAAGTGTAAAGAGGAAATAAAGCCCTTTAAAAGCC